TGACAATCTGGTCCATGCGATTATCTTGGGGTTCTTCTCCTTCCTGTATAGTGTCACACAATTCCTGTACATTCCATTCTTGTGATTTCTTAAATTTTTTTTCATATTTGCTTGAGTGGTCTGGTTCGTCCACTTTATCTTCCAGTTTTGATACTCTGTTTTCCATTTCATTCATGCTATTAAGAGTAATACTGTCTTTAAAAGTATGTTTCTATATAATGTACTTTTGTAAAAGCGATTTATTTTTCTTTTATTTCAGACAACAGAATGAGGCCTCTTTTGAATTACGGTATTGCTTGGTGAGTATATTTAAAAATTTTTATGTTTTCAGAATGATTCCTGTTAACGTATACAAATAAGTTGTATTTTTGGATTACTGTTGCAGTATGTCTATGGGCTTTCTGGTTGAAGAGACTGCACCAGTTGTTTGGAGAGGCCTCATGGTCATGTCAGCCATTGAGAAACTGTTAAGGCAGGTAAGAACATTGCTTTAAATATTATTTTACTTTGTTAAGGTCGTGGTTAATGCATTTGTTGACAGAAGAACTGTTAAAATTTGCAGTCAGCTTTGAGATGTTTTACCTAGGAATTCAATTGATAGACTGAAATGCGTAATGTATATGTGACATCTAATGAGAAATGTGGCCCCGAGACCAAAATTCACTGTGACATGAAATAATCTTCCCACTGCTTATGCTGTAAAAATAGAATGTCGTACTTTATGTAGTGTTGTTGAGTCCATTGTAAGAAGGGTAAGTCTATTTTATTGTCTTCTTTGGACTTATGGCGAATTTCTTAGTGGCCAGTGTTGAGGTGTAGGGCTGTGTGCAAATTCCTCAGCTGTAGACAGATGGTATAGAGCCAGGTACCTGTCCTTTTAAGTCACTCCCAAAAGATGGTATTTTGTTTTATTTCAGTGTTTATAGTTCTATACTTGTACACATGGTATCTGTTCGGTCAACTTTATCCTTAAGAAAGGAAATAACACTTCATTGGATAATCTAAGTATGTCATGTGGGCTTTATTTTATTTATAGTTCTGTTTTATAGTTGCTTGGAATAAACTGCTTTTTCTCAGTAAATAAGCATTCATAATTATGTTTTAGGTAAATATTAAAAGCAGTTTGTATTTGTCACAGCAGTATACCGCTACCCCATGTTAGTTTAAATTCTATGTTAGTCTGACATCATTGTCCATTGTAATGGTGGGCGTTCCTGACTTCATTGCCATATGACTGTGCAACAGATGACATGGGTCATGGTCTCCAAAGCTTTTTTTTCACTATAACATCTTGTCTTTGTAACATCTGTTTCTGAAGTTCTTATAAATGTTCTTTCTGATTGCCAAACCCAGATTCCTCCTCTTGTTCCAGGAAAGGTCATTTGAGTGGGAAGACCTACCCTAGGTGTTGGCAGGACGGTTCTACAGGCTTGGGTCCCAGACTGAATGCAAGGAGAAAGGGAGATGAGAGCCAGCTCTAGGTTTCTTGTTTCCTCCGACCAGCTGCTTCCAGCTCCTGCCCCCATGATTTCTCCACCCTTGAGGACTGCACCAGGGAGTCCTCAATCCCAGCATTTAGGAGGCAAAGACAGGCGGATCCTCTCTGAGTTTGAGACCAGTCTGGTCTACAGAGTGAGTTCCTGGCAGCTGGAGCTACAGGGAGACCCTGTCTCAAAAAGACCAAAAAAAA